TTTTTTTGATAAAACAATTTTAAAATTTAAACTTCATATTTTAAATTTGTATTAAACATGAATTTTTCAAGCAAATAATAAATACAATAAAAAATAATTAATATCGCAAAATAGAAATAAGATAAACTTATGTCAAACGCTTCATATTTTAACAGCTTACATCAACGTCCTTTGTTGTCGCAACACCATTTTTTTCTGTTATCAGGACTAGCAAAATGCTGGCCAATAAGGCCTCAAGCAATGCCCCAAAGTAAATGTTAATGGTGTCCATTTTAACGTTAGCAGGTGGGAGTTAATTACCTTGGAAAATTAAGTTTAAGCTGAGCGCAGACAGGTGAAAAAAAACGTACAAAGCTGAGCTGACAAAAGGTAACAGCTTAACTTACGGCTGACTCATGGCCCGCTCACTTATTATGCCCAAATCTTACTCCATCTTCTTTTTTTTTTGCCAAGTCATCGGATGGAAAGTTTTAATTAAAAATGTCACCAAAATATATGTATGTTTGATATACATATTTACAATACAAGCGTGTTTCATCTTTAGGTATTGAGTTGCCCAAATCAATAGCCGTGGGGCCGGCTAACAAGGCACAATACGTCTTTTAACAAGCCCAGCAACGAGCAGAGATTTGACCTCAGTAATGCTGACCCACTCCACACCTGGGCAACATGTCCCAATTATTTTGTATCACTGGAGCTGAAAATGTACCACACGCACAGCCGCAACATTTAATAAGCCACACGATACGAAGTAGAGCGAGAGCGAGAGAGAAAGGGAGAGAGAGTGTATATCCATGGAAACGGACAAGTCGTGTGTCATGTCAGGAGTGTCATAATTATGCAACAAGAGACATAGAAACATGTGATGTGCTTGCAACGTAAAAGAGCGAAATTAAAATACTCTAAAAGCAGCTTGAATGCCTGATGTGCTTCAGTTAAGCAAAGTCAAAGATATATATATATATCCATATAAATCAATATGTTAAAATATATTAAGAAAATCTTGATTGCCTGATGAACTTTAGTTAATTATTGTCAAGGATATATAT